GCTGCGTTACTCGTTACAAAAGCTATGAAAAATAAACGCATCTCGTTAGTAGTTACTGGTAACGAGTAACGCAATAACGCATGCGTTACTGCGTTACCTGTAAAGAAACGGTAAAGCGCCACCCCTAGTTTTCGATGGCAAATTGTGTTTCCTTTTCGCATGGAGAAGAGTCCCGATCTCGATATTTCCAAACTAGAGTCGATCGAAATTTGCCTTTATTAAAACGTTTCGGTACACAAATACTGATGGATAAAAGTATTGAAAAGCGAAGGAAAAATTTTATGATAAGCGTTCAGCAGGCTCAAAAACAGATTTTCTTTTCTTGTTTTTGTCTTGAATAAAATAGTAGAAGTCGCCTGATATAAGAAGAAGAAGATGCTCGAAAAACGGTGCAGCTTTTAACCCTTTGGTTATAATTCATTTTTTTGGAAAAATGATTGTATTAGTACTCGACAAAACCCAGAAGTGGGAAGATGTATACATACATGGTGGTGCCACACAATGACGCTGGGATACTGACAACATGAGAGCATTCTTATGGCCTGACCAAGAGGGAAGGCGAAAGCTCAGCCCCTATACATACAGATTCTGTAACCAGTGGATTAAAGAAGATCGCGTTCAGAAGAACACAAACCCACCTCGAACTCGAAAACGAGGAATCGGGATCCAATTAAATTCGCAGGATTCTAGTATGAAGAATAACCCCAGATTGTTTTTAAAAATGAGAACAAAAACCATTTTTAATAATGTCTCATTTTTATGATGCTATTCAGAAGTTCACTGCGTCATTAAAAATCAAATTTGTTTTCTATTCTTGCATCAGTTGAAGAGAGGAGTGAATACATCACATCGTCTCTGACGATACATAAGTGTTAAATTTATTTGATACTTAATGGTTAGTGTTATGTACAAAGAACAAGACAAGTGTGACCAAGAAAACGCTAACACTCTATCTGATTATCGTGATCCGAAGAGAAAGCCGAAAAGTCATGCTGATTAAAAGGAGTTTATCTAACTCCGGACTAAGAAACCATCGTGTTCCGACAGACTGAAGAAAATTCTGCGAGAAATGATCCTGTCGCCATGCAAATTGAGCTCCTGTTTCGTGCCTACCATTTGTCGGAAGTTTGAAAGTTTTTTGACAGAGTCCAGTCTCTCACGCCGTTTTACATATACGTAAAATGATTTGAGTTCTTTGTCGAATTTTCGAAACCAAGTGGTATATTTTATTTGAAATTAGGTCTAATTCTGATTGGATTCATAATCTACAGTCTCGCACGGCTTTAAATGTAAAACTGGACAACGGAACCTTCTCGGTTTTGAGCTTTTGCTCACTAAAAAGATAATTAAAACTCATGCTAGGGGGACTTTATTCAGGAGCCCTGTGGGTTGTGTGTCTTAAAATATCCGACGATGTTTCTTATCTTTATGCAGAATTTTTATTCTGCCAGTCCCGATGAAATCCTGTATAGTTCATGTAGGATTAGTATGGAAAAAATCCCGCGTAAAGGTAAAGAATATCGCCAGATATAGCGATGACAAGAAATATCGACCATCTGCGACAAATTAAGTTCCTTTATAATACTTTAGACCGCCTGTGTAACCCCTAGATAATATAACATTTTTCTACTTGAGAAAAACCCCGACAATTAATCATGAGAGAAAATCTGTTTCAACAGCAAATTTAATTTTAGTATTTAGACTGGGATCCGTTCATACTTTGATTGACCAACACGTTCGCACATTCCCGACTTCTACAAGTGATTTTTCCGTTCTAAGTACTGAATTGTTGTTTGTTACACGAGTAGTTCCTCTAAAACTAATTAGATCAACTTATTCAATATGAATAGGAAACAAATTGTTATACTCTTGAATCATCAGACGAACAGTCAATACAAAGATAAAGCGCATAGCACTCTGACTGAAACTGAATCAAAGTATTTATCGACAAGTTATCATATTTTTTATAATAAAAACAGAAACATAGAGAACAGTTAGCATTGGGCAACTGATAAACACTGGAAAAACTTAATTTCATAATCACAGATTCAAAATTTAATCTCATCTAATGATGAGACGAATAACATGCCTGTGGTGTGTATAGTGAACGGATAGAAAGAAGAATGTTGAAAACAAACGTATAGAAAGAAAGAGCGTATAGTTCTTTATGTGTATGAGAGAGTAAATGTTGTGATAGAAGATTGAAAAAACAAATTTTTAATAAAGAAAAAGATTGTTGTTTTTGATACTCAGTTTTATACTTTATCTGACCATTAAGTTCACTGATTTTTGTCTTGATATTACACTGAGAAATGAATTAAGTGATCCCCGAATTCATTAAGTAAAAGTTTACAATTCAAACAACCTTCAAAAAACATTTCATATACAGAGTGGAGTGTACACGAGAGCAAAAAGATAGTATTTAAAAGAAGAGAAGTACACAGGTGTGTAAGTACTGTGCCTTAAAGACGTTTTCATTCTCAGTAGGTAACCAACAGTTTTGATATTTTTCCTGTTGTATATGTTTATTGTTGCAAACTGTAATAAAATATGCTAAATTTGTTTTCCATATTCTTCTCATGCTGCGGTTGTTAATTAATTTTTAATGTCTTTTCTGAAAAAACTCTTTAACTATTATTACGACCAGACTGTTCATCTTATTTTGATTAGTCGAGTTTGTAATCCTTATTGTATTTTTCTTGCTTGCTATTTTATCTTCATTGGCATTCTGTACAGCAGGATCCTCTCTGAAAGTGACAAATGTCCTCTCGGTAGTCAGTAGATGAAGATACACGAACTTAATGGTCAGATCACGTATAAAACTGAGCGCCCTGGCATTTCTGAGGCATCGATCTTTTTCTTAATTAAAAAATTTGTTTTTTCAATCTTTTATCACAACATTTACTCTCTCATACTCATAACGAACCATACGCTCTTTCTTTCTATAGGTTTGTTTTTGACATCCTTCTCTGAGCTAGTACTCTCTATAAAAAAAAGGTACTCTACCGAACCTAAAAAGGGTTTAAACTTTTGGCACCATCTATATACCTTTTTAAGGTTTCATACAAACTACGAAACATTTTAAGGCTTCGTACAGCACCCTAAATTTGTTACTGGAAAAATTTGTGTAAAAACACAAAAGAAAGTGTTTTCTCAATGTTCCCAAGCGTTTCCCAGCTATGGATTTAGTTAAGTAAAACGGTATATAGTTATACGAAACCTTAAAAAGGTATATAGATGGTGACAAAAGTTTAAACCTTTTTTAGGTTCGTTAGAGTACCTTTTCTTTTTAAAGAATACACACTACTCGTCCGCTATAGACATCCTATGCTTTTGGAATATTTGAAAATACTTGAAACTCCTAGGAATTAATGAATAAGTTGAGATGAAGATAAAAGTAAGGTAAAAGATCTTCTTGTTTACTAAAATGTGTACAGGTGCTCAGTATAGTTAATACAACTGGTGATCAGGATGCATCCCAAGAATTTAGCGACAATCATCAGCGTCACCCAGTTCTTGTGATGTCAGTATCTCTTAGACGGTTAAGAAAATGTGTGCATATTTTAGTTGTTGTAGAGAATCGTAAAGAATCTGTTCCACCAAACGTAGAAACGATGGAAATACTTCGAATCATCACGATAGCGTTATTATTGATACAATCATTTTCTACATGTATATGTGCAGAATCAATTCAGAGTACAACAACTTCGACAACAAGACCGAGACGGAAATATCGTCCACCAGTAAAACGTCTTTTTCGTTCACATGACTACATTTCTACCCATGAAGCACTCGATTATTGGGCTATTTCGCCGTATTATATAGGTCAACAGGATGATCGTTCATGTTCTCTTGCAAGTGTCACAATGATCGTAAACGCTGCCAGAGTAGAAAAAGCACTTCTATTTAGTGAAAAATTGCCAACTCAACAGTCTGTTATGAAACGGGTTAATAGTGAAATATGGAACAGTGGACTCGCTCCTGGAGGTGAGGGTGTCACTCTCGATCAGATCAAATCATTAATTGAAAAGAGTTTTAAAACACATAGTATAAAATATATCTCAGTTGAAATCATTCACACTGTCGATTTGTCAGAAGAAACAAAGCAAAAGTTTCGCAGAATTTTAGTTGAAAATGAAAAGTCATCAAGGAACTTTTTGATTGCAAATTTTAATGGTGGTAAGGTTTTCAGTGGTGATGATTACGGTCATTTTGCACCCATTGCTGCATACGATGCTGGCCATCGCCAAATTCTTGTGATGGATCCAGAGCGTCAGTGGTATGAACCATACTGGGTATCTGAAGATGCTTTGCTCAATGCAATGGTTACAAAAGATAAAAAAAGTGATCAATACCGTGGCTATGTATGGATAAAACTCTTCGGAAGAAAGAAATAACCGAATGTCAACGTATAGAACTTGGTTACATAGAATGTATTTCACTCGACGAAAAATATTAGTTGTGTTAATAGTGGTATAGAGCTCAGAACATTAAGAATTTGTTTAGCACTTTCAATATCGATGTGATAATAAAGCCAAATTTTCTTTTATTTTGTTTTTTGTTTCAATAATGCATACTGTTTGACTACGAATAAGCAAATAGATAATATTGTCTAATACGATGTGGTCTTAATATGCTCTAGTTGCCTCTAGTTGATCCAAAGTAATCCATTCGGCAGATCCTTGTGATAATGACCTTCTTTGTTGTGAATGCAGACAATTCCTCGGATGAAAAATAGTGTATAGACAATGTTTTCTTGAGCGTGTTTAGTTCTGATTTTGTTCTTTGAAGAAAGTTAGACCTACATGAAGAAAGACCGTCGGATGTACACTACGCCACTAGTAAGTTGTATTAGTTATTTTCATTTTCATAAATAAAAATTTTCAAATGTTTTTTGGCGGATATATAAGTATCCTCTCGAATGTCCTACAAAGACTGACCTGTTTAATGTTATCTTTCATGTTCAAAACACTAATAGATCCATGCTCATTAGGACTCCTTCGAAACTTTAAAACTAATATACAACTTATGATTTTGGTTCTAAATATACTGTAATCAACGAGGGAAAGATGAAAAACGAAAATATATTTTGAGAACTGAAATAATATCTACAGTAAAATTGGTGACCTGATCTGATGAAGTTTCAAGGAAGTCGTCATGTAAACCAGTTAGAATTATCAGTTGACATTGAGTAGGTCACTCTTTTGGAGTATTACTGACAATACTTGTATCTGCATAAGGAATTAGTGAAGAAGTTTTTAAATTTACGTAGGACTTTTGTAAATTTCTAATATACAGTCGTTAAGCAATATATTTCTTTTTCTTTTGTTAGTAAAGGAATGAATAAATATTATCTGCTGTCATGAGTATTTTTTTACATAGAGAGAGATAATCTGATGAATAAAACGAAGCAAAAGACCTCGAACAAAAAATAATCTGAAATGTATAAAATCATATGCTTAATGTTTTAAAAAGTGCTTTTTCCACATAATATATCATTATAACCGTTATATATTTACTTTACATGGAACGAAATATGGATCATACCTGGAATCTTAGTGCTGAAATTATTCCAATGGAAGATAAACGCTAGTATTTGAATTAATAAAGATTCTATAAAATGTGTTCTAAGGCGAAATATTTTTGCTGAAGCTTGTTTACAATCAAATTCAATAGAAGAACATATAACGATAGTTTTGGATTTAATGCAACATAACTAGTTTAACCACTTGACAAAGTCAATACTATTATGCATGGTGTTACTGAACATATGGGTACGTATACGTACTTGATTTGCTCTATTATGACGATCATTGCTGAAGATAGTGTGAAGATCAGTGAACAAGAAACCATTATGCCAGTTCCCATTTTAGTTGGTAGCAATAAAGATAAGTTAGAGAAACTGGCCGTCCTTGTTGGTGACGGGCACTGAACCACTGATGTAAGTGAAGCACTAGGAGATGCACAAAATACCATTTATTTTGATTCCCAGCTTACAAAATTGCATGTGTCAGGAGTGAAAAAAGCGATTGCAGCAAGCAAACGTGTCTATTGTGAAAAGCCAGTAGAAGAAGCGTGTGAGCTTTCCAAATTGGCACAAGAAGCAGGAATCAAGCATGCTGCAGTGCAGGATAAGCTATGGTTACCGAGACTTCAGAAGCTGAAGTTGTCGAAGGATAGTAATTTTTAAGTCGCACTCTTTCCGTACATGGTGAGTGCGGCTCCTGAATATTTACTGGAGAAGATGAAACTGGGCCTCAGCGTCCTTCATGGAATTATCGGAAGGAAGACGACGGGCTATTCTCGACATGCTGTGTCATTGGCGCTATGTCCTAGATAAAATCGATTTGACGAAGTCAAAGCTGTCTTTTACCTAGGCGCAATTCATGTTAAACACCGCTTAAATGACAGTGGAACACCTTACGCATGTATGGTAGATGACTCAACTTATGTTAACTTTAACCTACACTCTTAATAAAAAAGTATATTACTAAACCAAAATAGGGTATTTGCATTTGCGACCATACGAAATGCATTTTCGTTTTACATTTAGAGTGCAAAAAACCCTTCCGTTTTCTAAAACATTCCTTTAACAGTAAATGCAAAAATGGATAAGGGTTTGTTGTACGTATATTACTTTTCCGTGATGGTGCTTATAAGTGAAAATATAGAGGATGAAATTCTGCACAAAACTGAAAACTCTTCAGATTAAGTCGAAAACCCCAAAACGTTTCCTTTTTGGAGATAAATCGTTTTTAATATTTTCCTTCAAAAGTTTCTGCTAAAACAACTCGGTACTACATACTGGAGTATGACATTTAATAATTGTTGTAAAATTTGATCAGTTCGCTATTTTCTGTCTTAGTCGCTTATGTTAATCCGATGACTTATCATTTTACAGTTTAAGTTTGCTATCGGTTGCTCAGGACTCGTCGAAAAGGAGTTTTTATATTTAATTCACTCAACTACATTTCAAAAGTCTGAATTTACAGTAAAGAACTTTTTTAACCTTTTCAGGACCGGTTTAATTTTTATATATACAGTGCTGTTCAAAAGTTTAAGACGTTTTTTATTTTGCAATATCTCGGCTTCCCTGACGGATAGAGACTTCATCCTTTCGTCAAAAGAAAGCTATCACTAAACTCTACCATATGTGAAAATATCGTTAAGTTTCAACTTATTTTGGCGGAGTTAGGTAGAAAACAGTATTTTCCTAAAAAACGGAA